GTAAACAGTGGTGTCTTTTTCTCAAGCCACTGCACATGGCAGCAGACAACACACCAACAGCCCCTTATGATATTGAATATAAGAAGTCTTTGGCATTTAAAAACTGTTTATGTCTTCATAACTATGTTGAAATGCAAAAAAGTGAGAGAGTACGAAGAGGGCAGGAGAGAAAACAGAAAGCTCCTGAGGCGTCACGCAGTCTGAACAAGAACACTTCTTCAAAATGTTGAACTTTAATTGCTCGCCGAGGCATCTTCCTGTTTCAACATCCGACCAAACACCTGCTGTTAATTAAAAACAGGCTTCTACCCTTCAAAAAGCAGCTGATACTTTCTGATTGTAGTTGCTGTGTATGGATATCAGTTAAAACAGTCACAAGTGCTGCTGCAGGCTTCAGTATATTTCAGTGCTTGAACAAAGGCTTTACAACGTGTCAGCTGTTGTTTTTTCTCTGTGTGTCACGCTGCTGGTTTGTCTGTGAAATGCACTCGACTCTGCAGCAGGAAGCTTTCCTCTCCGTCAGTCTTACAGGCTGGGAGACGAGCTGACAGATCAGTCTTCCTGTTCCATCATCGCCTCTGAAATATATTCTACCATCTTTAGGGTTTTGATCACAGACACGTACCTGTAGCATCTGCCAACTGACTTAGGAATCATGACATATTTCCTGTTGTATTCTATTTCATCAGTTTGGTGGAAAGGATTTGGTTTGTTGGGGTCTTCTTTACAGTGGCCTCAAGAGCTCAATGCACCACATGCTCAAGTCCAGTAGGGGCAGTATGTTTTTATGAGTTTGTCCTGTTTTGTTGTGGCTAGTACATGTGCGAGAGGACAGGTGCCACATACTTGTTATTGCATTCCATGTTTATTAATCTTTGTTATATTATAATAACATTACCAAACGATTACTGATTTCACCCGACACTCAAGCTCGTTATAGTCTCCGTTTCCCAGTTATTCACAGACACACACACACACACACACACACACACACACACACACACACACACACACACACACACACACACACACACACACACAAACACCGGGGACACACACACACCTGGTATTTTCCTTCCCATGCTCGGCCAGATGTTATCATTGAGATTTTGATGTAAAATCAAGTGTGAGAAATGTTTTTAATTATCGAGCCACCTGGACAGGGTTGTTGCAAGCAGACACATACACACACACACACACACACACACACACACACACACACACACACAAACACACACATTTATATATTTTGCATAAAATAGCATCACTCGCTATGATGCATTTTGATTGTCTTGGAATAATTGCCTGTAACCCTCAACTTTGTACATTTAAAAAACATCTAGAGTTCTTTGGCAAGAATAAATGTTCTCACCCAATCTTGTTTTGTGACATCCAAAGGATATAATTACACCAACACACACAAACACACATTGACATACACACACTCATTGTTTCAGATAACAGATGTTGTCCTTCTTTTGATTAAAGTCAACAAATTAAGACATTGTACTCACTCACTGCTGCAGAAAAAACACATTATTCTATAATGGGCTGTGGGGGAATACTG